CTCCTTCCTTCCCTCCCTCTTTCTCTCTCTCTTTCTCTCTTTCATTCATTCTTTCTTCACTATGATTTCTTTTTTTGTTATTGTTTTTGGAGACAGGATCCCATTGTGTAGCTCTGGCTATCCTGTAACTTGCTATGTAGACCAGGCTGGCTTCGAACTCACAGAGATCCACCTGCCTCTGCCTCCGAAGTGCAGAGATCAAAGGTGTGCACCATCACACTCAGCTATGACTTCTTTTTAAAAAATTCTTGTAAAAAATACATACAACAACATTTATCATTTTAATTTAAGTGTGCAATTCAGTGGTATTAAATACATTTGCATTTTTGTGGAACCACCTATTATTGATCATCAGAAAATTTTCATCTTCCTAAACTAATCTACTTTGCTTTTCAATTTCCTTAGCAGTTGGCAGAAGAAACCTCTCCTCCCTTAAGTTGCTTCTGTCAGGTATTTTAACAGAGATAAGAAAGCCACACAGAAACTACATTACATTCTACTAAAGCTTTGCATATGGAGTCTTGTCAGCTACATGAAAGGGAAAAGTATTCTACCCATGACACAGAAGTAGGACAGAAACAACAGGTAAGATGAGCTGGGCATGATGGTACACACTTGAATCACAGTTCTCAGGAGGCAGAGGCAGGAGGATTTCTATGAGTTCCAAGCCAATCACAGCTGCATAGTGAAACTGTTTTTAGAAAAAGATGAGATAAGGAATATCTTCTTGCTTCCAAAATTTCTTGAGGAAGACAGAAAGAACACATAGATTGGCTGAGGAAGTTCACAAGGTTTGTTTCCCCATAGAGGGAAAACAAAAGAAGAACATTTAAAGGGATACTAAGCATGATGTCCTTTGCCAATTCAACTCTAAGCAGTAAGAACTTAGCTATGATTGCACCCAGGAACTCAAAGCAGAAGTGGCTACCTGCATAAGACAGGGCCCATAAACATTCCAGCCTAGATGGAGAAAGGGCTCATAAGGCCCTATCCCTCCAGAGGAGCCACAGACAGTTAAAGGTAGAAAAGGGAGGCAGAGTCATAGTCCTCAGTGAAGTAGTCACTGGTACATTTCCCCGTCTCAAGCAATACCCTCCCCATGCTTATGTAGGCAACCCTAATTAAATGCAGCGGGATACACACACACACACACACACACACACACACACACACACACACCACTGAAAATAGAAGGGAAACTTAGGAAGAAGGGATTTAGTGAGATGGAGAAGGGCATAAGAAAATAATGGGTGCTGGAACATTGCAAAAAATATTATGTATATGTATGAAATTAAAAAAATTAAAAAAAAAGAAATTAGCTATGATAACACAAATGGGACGGAAACAACAAATGGACATTAACCATGCCAAACTTTTAGCATATTTTGGATATGAATAATTTTTAATAAGGAGCTAAACATCAGTTGCTGAATGAGCTTTATATACTAAGGTGAACAGAAAAGGCTTCTAATTCAAGAGCTAGAGTAGCAGCCAAATACAGATATGGAATATGGCTGCAGCAAAGGCAGATGCTATTTTGGTTTTTAGTACAACCACAAGAGACTGTAGACTGTGCAGAGGCTACTGTGGCAGAAGTGAAGGCAATTACATGAACGACTTATTGAATGTGGTATGGTATAGTCTTCAAACTAAAACTAGGGGATCGTTCCCCACAGAAATTAAAGGAGGGGGCTGGGGATATAGCTAAGCAAGCAGAGCACCTGCCTAGCATTTGCAAGGCCTTAGGCTCAATCTGAAGTACCACAGAAATAAAACACAGCAAAATTATATATATATATAGGCAATTACATGAACGACTTATTGAATGTGGTATGGTATAGTCTTCAAACTAAAACTAGGGGATCGTTCCCCACAGAAATTAAAGGAGGGGGCTGGGGATATAGCTAAGCAAGCAGAGCACCTGCCTAGCATTTGCAAGGCCTTAGGCTCAATCTGAAGTACCACAGAAATAAAACACAGCAAAATTATATATATATATATATATCAGTTAAGAGCATTTGCTGCCCTTGAAAGGACTTAAGTTCAGTTTCCAGCACCCCCATAGGGCAGCTCACAACTGCCTATATCTTCAGCTGTAGGGAGTCAGATGTCCCCTTCTGGCCTCTGAAGACACCTGTACACACACACGGCATACACTCACATACACATACATTTTTTTTTTTTTAATTTCTTTTTAAGACAAGGTTCCCTGTAGCTCCAGCTGGCCTGGAGCTCACTATATAGACCAGTGCTGGGGTTTAAGGCATGCACTAGCATGCCCAGCCACATAAATTTTTTAAAAACTTTTTAAAGAAGAAGAAAAAAAAGAAAGAAAGAAATTGAACAATTGGATTGGGGATATAGCTTGGTGGTAGGGCATTTGCTTCCCTAGCATGTACAAGGCCCTAGGTTCAATAACCCTCAGTACTGTAAACAAACCAATAAATTACCATCAACATAGGGAGAGCAGGCTTCCTAGTGTGGGCATTTATGTTTAGAATCAAATTTGCAATGGGGTGGGTGAAGGCAGCTCTCCTGCCTCTTAGCCATCTGTATCTAGTAAAAGTAAACTTTATCAGATGACATACACATCTTACATACTAAGAAACCAAAGTCAACCTCACTGTTCAGGAGAAATAAAACTTCACATAACAAAGAAACCCAAGCCAAACATCTATATGAAGCAAACCAATTCTTATATTAATCAACAACTAAGAGCTTTATACTTAAAGAAAAAAGTGCATGTGGAGTGGTAAAAATGAATAAACAGAAACAACTTGACATCTGCATGTTGAACATAAGACAGAACAAAAGAACTTTTTAAATATACCATTACGATGATAGTTCTATAGCCTGGAAGTTACTAAAAATTATTAAACTATACAGTTAAAATAGAGGCTGGGTATGGTGACAGAGGCCTTTAATCTCAGCACTGAGAAAGCAAAAGCAAGACGATCTCTGTGAATTTAAGGCCAACTTGATCTATATAGCAAGTTCCAGGTCAGTCAAGGCTATATAGTGAGACATCTGACAAAAAAAAAAAAGTGAAAAACTGAAAAAAAAAAAAAAAAAAAAACACAAAAAAAACCAAAAACCAACCATAGTTTTAACATATATCTCAAATTATATAACTAAAAATATCTGAATTCTTCTAATTTT